AAGAAAAAAAAAAGAAAAAAAAAGATAAAAAAACTATCCCAATTGTAAAAGCTACAGTGGGGGAAATAAGTATTTGACCCCTTGCTGATTTTGCAAGTTTGCCCACTTAAAAAGAATGCAACGATCTATAACTTTAATCATATGTACATTCTAACAGTGAAAGACAGAATCCCAAAGAAAATTCCAGAAAATCAAATCATATGAATTTATAAAAATTGATAACCATCTGATGAGGAAAAAGAAGCATTATTTGTAAGTGGGCAAACCTGCAAAATCAGCAAGGGGTCAAATACTTCTTTCCCCCACTGTAACTTTTTGTAATAGTTCGATTAGCAAATGTGTACCTCCCACTTCCAGAAAGCCGTCCCGGACGCAGAGAGAAATCTCGGAGGCGGAGAAGTGGGCCAGGTCCATGCTCACCCTCCACCTGCTGATCCTCTGGCTGGGGGGGGCCGGCGACTCGGAGATGTGGGGCACGAACATCGGGGCGGGAGCGAAACCGGGCCAGAACAAGGCGGCCAAACCCCTCTGGGACCGGTCCATGTCCGACCACCCCCCCGCCTCCAGGAGGGGCGGGAGGCCGAAGTCTGGACCGAAGAGACGGTTGGGCTGCCACCACCTCCTCAGTGGATACCGACCGGTGCCCCTGTCTCCGTCCTCCATTTTGTTCTGCTGACTCATGTTTCGGGAAGGAAAGGAGTCGAATCAAGGGGCCTCTCTTGAGCTGAGTTTGCAAATGGATGGGCCTCTCTTGAGCAGATCTGAGTGGAGTTTGTGGTTGAGTTCTGGTTCTCAGAGAGTAGAGATCTAGCTAACGAATGATCGGACTTACTCGGACTCTTTCCCGATCTCGGACTCGGTGAGGCACAGGCTTTATATATGCCGCCCCAATCCGATTTAGCGCCTATCGAGGGCTCATGCCGATCCCATGAGGTGGGATGAGCAGGCATGGGGTGATGATGGGCGTGGAGGGGAGGCCGTTCCACCTCGCTGGACCACGGAGGCCTAATTAATTGTATTTATAACTTTTGAAGGCGCGATGGCAAATAGCAGGGCGGTTGGCCGCGTTTGAACCGGGGGATCTGTTTCCC